GATATACTAATATACTAATTACATGGGATATAATAATATACTACACTAATAATGGATTTTTTCATACTTTTCGGTTATCCGACTTTTCAATTATCCGACCAAACCCAGTCCCCAATTGAGTCGGATAATCGATGCTCTACTGTATTATCTTTTAGCTACATGATTAACATTTATTAGTTTTTAATTACAGTTTTTATCCGAAAACGAAAGAGAAAAAGTAAATTGGATAAGTAAATAAACTGTCATTACGAGCCTATATTACATGAGAATAAAATTGCGTTTCTTATGGAAATTACTCCATTCTACAAAATTACAGTTAAGCGATTTCTTTTTTCCCCTTTTTAAACTCTTTCCGCTCTGTTAGCTCAGTGGTCTGCTTTAGCAAATCCAGTATGAGTTTGGCCAGGCCCGTAATGGGATAGTCAGGGATGGACCTGATGCATCTAGACGTCAGGCAGCTCAGAAAAACTCCAGGAATTTTTCTGAGGTGCTTGATGTCCGGGATTTTATTCGGGAACCAGAGCGGGACCTAGGATCGTATCCAAACGGGTAAAATTCTAGCTTCAAGAAAAATAAAATTCATCCGAATCGGTTTAAAACCTCCAAGAAAGATTCCAGCAGTTGTATCTTTAATTTTTAAAAATAAAATGGAAATTCTTAATAAGCTTAATGATGATGTTGTAAGAGATTAATCGCTAGTATCTCAAGCAGCAGTAAAATACAAACTAATCCTACGAACGTTCATTTTGGCAAATACTATAAATCCCCCATTTTTTGTAAGATCCTGAGCAATTACATAGTTTTATTAAAGTTTGCGTTTGATACCATTTCTGAATAGTTGTAGCAATTGAGTTCCTACAAAATATTTCCTGACTTTTTTTATTTTGTTGTACACGTGAAAGAATTTTACCAATTGGCATCCAACATAGAATTCTTCTGAAGTGACTTCATCGGTTTTTTCATTTTCTCTGTCAAGAATATCTGAATCATCCGAATTTTTCTCTTTTGTTCTCGTATTTGAAATTATTAAAATCTGTTCGTCTTCAGCATAACGCGAAAGATATTCCTTTATATATATGCTTTCATCATCAGTTGTGACTTCATCTATATAATACATTTTATCTGCACCTTCTTCGTTTTGGGATTCGTATAGAAAAAAGTTTTCTGAACGTTTTTTCTTTTCATCTGCAAATAATTCTTTCGTATCCTTTTCTTTGTCATTAGAGAATTCTTCCTTATTTTTTGCTTTTTGTGCAGAATATTTTTCGACATCTTCCTCTTTATATTTTTGGGTATATTTTACTGAAAGTTTTCTTGTATTTTGCATGTATCCACGGAATAAAATTTTTTGAAATTCTTCATTTATTCCTCTGGATTTTACAAAGTTTTCTTTAGATTTTCTGCGAATGAAATCATTATCACGCGTTTCAGATGCAAACAATTCTTCACACCTCCAATTATGAATTATTTGGGAAGTTGAATCGGTAACTTCATTTAGAAGCATCCTTGCGTGACATGATTTTTGAATTTTTTCTTTGAATTTCTGAATTTTTTCAACATTTCTTTAAAGATAACATAAATATTTTACATTTTTTGCATTCAATGATTTACATGTAAATTTTCTTTTGTTTCCGGTTGGTTTCCGTAGCATTTTTCCTATGATTTTTCTGTGACGTTTACAATAAACATATCTAATTTACAGTACAAAACGTCTTTTCTCTAAACCATATTTGAAGATTTAAGATTGCAATTTCCGCATTTAATTTTTCTATAAAATTACAGTATATTAAAGCGAATAAATAAATAAACAAAGAACAAATTCTATAATTATTAATTTATCCTATACCGTTATTTAATTTAAGTAATTTAAAAATCCTGAAATTATCAAAGAAAAAATGCCAGTAGTTACAGTAATTATAGTGGCTAATCATTTAGACAGCTCCAACATTATCGGTTTTATTTTGAAAAACAAAACCGAAGAAAGCAAAAAAGAGCCACCTAAACAATAAGTAATAACAATAAAAACAAATACATTGTTAATAATAAGTTGCTAATAAACTAAAATCAATTAATTTGTTAAATCATTTTTTATTCGAAATTCAATACGTATATGCGAATTAGAACATAGGTTTTTTCCCCTAAACATTTCTTTACTCTCTGATTTTTGAGCATTAACTAGACTAGGTAGTGATGGGCAGGACCTGACATAACTGAAGCAGACTGCCCATGAAAAAATTTTCTGAAGATTCCACCTGGAGTCGAATATGCATCCTTCAGAACATCGGATAGATGTTTTGGTCACCATAATATTAGTCATAATATTGGCAAATTGAATTTATCACGAGATACAGTAAAAATGTAATACAGTAGAGCCCTTCAAACTCGACCAAATGTAAACCCAATAGTAAGTATTTCTGGGTGGCCGGATGGCCGAACTGTCAAGATGGCATTTTGTTATCATAAAATAATTTTAAATTATAACGGCTCATTATATAATATTTTGTTTAATGTATAGAAATTAAAAATTCTATGCGAATTTGCTATTGAACGATATTTTACTTCAATTATATATGGTAGCTCTGCTTAATGATAAAACGAAGGTAAGAACAAATAAAATATAACTAAAGTCTCGATTCAAGTTGCCCATACCTTATCACTACACTTTTATAAAGAATCAGGATGAATTCTTTCGGTACATTATTAATGGTCATAGTACCGGCTTCCAGCATTATCTGCGAAAAATATTTTGGCGTTATCCAACGTATTGCCAATGTGTAGATATTTAAATTTTGTGCCATTTTCTCTTGATGCCCTTAGTGCGGCCGCTCAGTTTGATCGTACCTATAGTCAGTACTGGAAGGTCAATAACCGAAGTGGTAAAGCACCATTCTTTTATTATGAGAAACTCGGATTCGAGTCCGAATCAAGTCAAAACCTTTGATAGAGGAGTCAAGAGAAAATAGTTAATTTATTGTTTATTAAATGCGTAAAAACGGGACATAAGTTCTTGTATGTAGCGTGTAGCGTGCAGGAAAATGACATCAAATTGACGTAATTTTGCTGCTCGCTAGACGCTACACGCAAGAACCTAAATCACAGTTAAATACTAGTAAAATAACTGTCCTATTGCATCGAGCTAGAATATACTACATAGAGTAGCCGTAACGACGCTATGTTTAAAGAAAATTGAATACATGTCCGCCATTTTATTTTTAGTCAAGAGGACGTACCATTTGTGTTGTGTAAAGGCAACAAACTAGAACATTCTAATTCGTTGTGTAAAAGTGTGCAAAGAAAGACAGAGTTTTAATCCTTAACTAAAATGGAGAGAGTCAAAATGACCCTACAACTTTTTTTTTTTTTTTAATTTTGAAAGTAAATAACACAAGGACAAAATGAGCAAAAATAAAAACGTAAAAAGTTTTAATGTAAGAAAACGTCATTATAACATTCAACTATTTAAAAATCTAAAATTATTGTTTATTTTATGTAAAAACAAATATATTATCAAAATAATTATTTAATAATATTTAAATATATAATTATAATTTAATACAAAATGAGTTCGAAAGGCGCCGTCTGCTGTTGGATATTGGTACTAATTTAAAGCATGGGAATAAATGTTTCGTAAGCTTGTAATTTACTTTATAGAAATATCAAAATGTGGCGTTTACAATTAAATTATTCACAATTATTAAAATTCCGGAGAACCTTTAACATGGTTTGTAAATTATATTTAAAGATTTATATAAAACATTGTGAATGTGAAGTTAAAATTATTTTCTTAAGGGATTTTTTAATGCAAAGATTTTCTTTCTCAGGTGTATTCTGGATATGCAACATCATCAAATGTTGTAAGTATTCTTGTAATCAATGTAATAACATTAACAATTGTTTAATAATGTTAAATAGTAATACAGTAACCTTTAAGTAATCTCATTACTGAAAGATGATAATGTTTCTTTGAATTTGCTATTTAGATCCATAAAGATGTTGAAGATATAAGAAATATTGGTATTTCAGCACATATTGATTCAGGAAAGACAACTTTAACTGAAAGATTACTTTTCTATACTGGGAGAATAAAACAAATGCATGAAGTAAGTTATGTGTAATTTTACTTGAGAGAGAAAAATAAATTAGCAGAAAACGGCATTAAAGGACTTTTAATTCGTTTGTTAGTGCTTTCGATATTCATATAAACATCGTCATCAGGCAATGACTCAAATCAAATGCTTTTTTAGAAAGTGTTTGATTTGAGTTCATTACTGCATATTGTACATTAATTATACTCGGCATGGGTACTAAATATTACATTATTTTATTAAGTACCTGTATAACATACATAACAGTGACATAAACATTCCATGCATTCCTATATTCAATGGTGAGAAAACGACATTTCTAAATGGACCATTGAGTTTCCCATTGAGACTAGTGATGTCAGCGCTGTTTCAGCATTGAGCTCAACGGTCTCAATGACCTGAAAGAACGTTGCATATTCAACAAACTAACATGGCGGCTTCCATGAAAAAGTAAATTTCGCTTATAGAAACTATTCATTCACTCTTGCTGTGGATGCTGTAATAGTGGACAAATTAATGAATGATCAGTACAGTATATGATAAAACATGTGATTGCATGATTATGTTGGATAGTTTGGTCAATATTGAAATATTAAGCTTTTTTTCATAAATTACCTCTACAAATGTGTCCAATATTGATTATGATCGATATTTGACCCTCTTTAAGTCTTCCTAATGATATAAATATTTAAGTAATTCAAATTATTAAAGAAAGACCCAGTATAGAAGAAAATGATACAGATAAGGGTTCGTTTGAATAAAAGGATTTATTCGAATAATGGTTAAGTGAGTTACTTTAATTTTTTAGCAAAACAGTCACAATTGTTGCCTTCGTAATTAAGTCGGCCGTCCTGAAAAGTGCTTAAACAACAGAAACATTTCTTTTTTTTTACAAAACACGATGTCAGCTTGTTCAACGGAGGGACTCAACAGAAAATTCACTGTTGAGTCAACCGTTGAATATAGAAACTTAAGGATTATAACTTGCTATGCAACATGCCAGTAACAAAATGCATTATTGTTACCCAAGAGTTGAGACTCTAATATTATGTAATGTTTTTGTAAACAATGCCTAACCTTTTAGTTTAAATAAAACATTTTCTTCTGTTTTTGTTCATAAAGTTTTATAATTTTGCATAATATGTATTACTATATAGTGTATATACATCAAGAATAAAAATAGATATTAAGTGGTAATTAAAATAAATTAATTATATTAAATATCCTTATTTTAAGGTTAAAGGCAAGGATCGTGTTGGAGCTAAAATGGATTCTATGGAATTAGAACGTCAAAGGGGAATTACTATACAATCTGCAGCAACTTATGTTAATTGGAAGGATACGAATATTAATATAATTGATACACCTGGTCATGTGGATTTTACAGTTGAAGTAGAAAGAGCTCTTAGAGTATTAGATGGTGCAGTTCTTGTGCTTTGTGCTGTTGGTGGAGTGCAATCTCAAACAATGACTGTATCTAGACAAATGAAACGCTACAATGTTCCAAATATAGCATTTATTAATAAATTGGATAGAATAGGTGCAAATCATTATCGAGTATTATCCCAAATGAGGTATACATATTATTTAAATATATTATCTTCATTTTGATTTATTTTTATACGTGCCATTTTTAAATGTATCAAAAACTTTCAGATCAAAATTAGGTTATAATTGTGCTTTGTTGCAACTTCCTATTGGATTAGAAGGAAAACATGAAGCTGTAGTTGACTTGATACATAGAAAAGCTTTTTATTTTGAAGGTTCATTTGGGTTAGTGCAAATTATAGATTAATTTTACATTTGTAATGAATAAATGTTTCCTTTAAATTATGTAATTATTTTATAGTGAAATTGTAGAAGAAAGAGAACCACCTTCAAATATGAAAGTAGAAATAGAAGAATTGAGACAAGAGCTGATAGGTATATTTATTTGATAAATCATTTACAACTATTAATTTATAACAGTACAGCACAAGTATTTTAATATAAAAAATTTCATAATAAGAATATTTTCTCCTTTGGTTATACTTAAATATTNAAATAATTTAATTTAAATACATTTACAATTGAACCGATAACGTCAATCAGAATCATAAAACCAATAATCAGGATCAATTAAATTATCTTCTTGATAACATTTAAATACTGGAAGTTCAATTTTAGGCACACATTGAAGTTCCTTTTCAAATGGAAACCAATGAATAATGTGTACAGCTTGACACGTTTGAGCTGCAATTTGTAATCTAGTTCCATCAAAACTGATATCTAAACTTTGTATTTCCTGCTGAGATTGCACATAAGAGGTTGTGATCTTGATCGTGTTAAGAGGAAGAAGAGATTTTAAGTCTCTTAAATCGTCATTGTCATTAATTAAAAATATATAAATTTCTCCTAATTTTGTTCCAACAATTAACAGATTTCGTTTTAAGCAGATAGCCGTTATCATTTCTACCAAAACAGAAGAACATCCGAGCATTTCCCACGAATTATATTTCTGATAAAATTGGCATTTTCTTAAAATTGTTAATTGAGTGCCAATTTCAAATATTAAGTTTCGAAAAATTGAAATATTCAAACTTCTAATATTCAAAACATTTTCAAAATAATAATTTTCTATCCAAGTCTGTTTAGTTAAATCCCAAGTAAGAAGTTGAATCCTACTCATATTCCACCAAAAGCACATAATTTTGTTTTTCCAGATATTAATATCCGTTATTGGTATCGGACACAGAGTTTGACCAAGATCTTTTACGAGTAACAAAGATCCACTCACATTCACACGAGAGACATTCCATATATAAATATTTCTATCTTGGCAAGCAACCACGATCATATTTCCAAATATTTTAATAACGGCATTCGAACAATCTGATGCCAAAAAATTTTCCCAGAGTTTAATCGGATGATGACCATGACAATTAAATTCATTAATCTGAATGCTCTTATCTAATGAAACGCTGACCACTACGTTATGTTCGGCAATCTTATTCGATCCTTTTATCTTATATGGTCCTTCGTTCTGTACGTTCATGACGCCGATGTCTTGAATAGAATTATTATGTTTGGCTAATATTCCTATACATCTTCCGCTTTCGTAAATATAGACTTTATACACTCTAACGTTTTCGGCAGTGGGCGCCAAGACGAGAAAATCTCCAGAAAGTCTCATAATACATTTATTTAAAGAATTGTTCTTGAAAGGCAGAGAAAACTTTTGATGCGGGGTCTTCTTGGCGACCGTGTGACGACTCCACCGTAAAAACAGAGCCTTCCATGCCAAAGGGGTCATCTGTCGCAGAAAGACGGCGGGCCGTGAACATCCGAAGATCTCTATCAGGACGTCCTCCGGAATCTCTCTCAAGCAGCATTTGTGCCAACATCCTAGAGTTAAATTGCTCCAAACCAAACATACTTTACTACAACTTATTAAAGATGAAAAATCTAAAAATGACAGAATGTATTCTTGAATTTCTATGGGTAATAACAGTATGCATATCTTCTTGTTATCCATTGTAATTAAAGATGAGATGATTTTAAATAACTATTTCTTTTTTTCCAAAGAAAATAATCTATAATTCTTCCATAACATATAATCATTTATATAAACTGGCTTCATTAATCTTCTAAGCTGTCATATAGAACTAACACAGAATTTTAGTTATTTAAATATATAATTCGACACTAAAACAATTTGATAAGCAAAGAATTACGGTTTAAATCTGTGTAAAAGATGAGATTTGAACACGTGATCATCCTGCATAAAATTGTAGATTTCATCAATGAAATCACAACCAAACAAGTACATCATCAGGTTTAAATATAACTACTTAAATTTCACATTTAACATCTTTAAAAATGATAATTGTACGATTTATTTTTTTAATCTTAAATAAGAAAAGAATAAAAATTATATAAAATTAACTAAAGTTTTACCCGCTGACGATTTTCCTTTCTTGCAACTTACACCTTAACCGACCATAACAACAACAGGATGTTCTCATGTAACGACGTCTCCGATTGGTCAAGGACGTCTACATATCATTATAACGACTAATGAATCGTAACGGTTTACACAAAATGTTAGGGTTAATTAGAATGTTAAAACCCGAAAAAAATTCGTTAATAATAATTTATATATATAAAAATGAATGTATGTGTGTGTCTGTCTGTCTGTCCTTTCTGCATTACCAAACCGTTTATCTGATTGCCATGAAACTATGGAAAGTTGTTCAATATACTCCCGTGTAGGTTTGTGGCATAGTACGATTGCCATAAAACTTTGGGAAGTTTTTTTTTATATATACTCCGGCATAGTACATTTAACCTACGATAAATGGCGCGCGTTTATATATTTCACTGTGCTTTCGATCGATTTCATATTGTAAACACCATTTTTTTTCTTCAAAAAATATTTTTATTTGTGCATTTGTGAACTGTTATTTACGATATTTGTAATAATTTTTGTTTAATCACTTTATTTCAGCTTTTTATTTTTTTGCTAATTATGTATTCGCTGGAACTTTGTTAAAACTTTGACTGTGTCCCAAACAACAACCGAAGTTTTAGGAGGAAATTCGCCTATTTTACCGATTTAGGGATCCCCTTTTCCAAATTTTAATATCGACTCAAAATAATTTAAAAAGACAAATTACAATAAAACGGTTTATTATCAAACTATCAGAAATTTCACAACGTGCCAAGGAAGAGAGGAAGGAGCAAT